TAAAAATTACAGCAAGATACCATTTGGCTGGGGATTTAGCTCAGTGGTTCCATTGCCTGCCTTGCAAGGAGAAGGACCTGATTTTGATTCCGGTACCAAAAAAAAAAAAAAATAATTCAGGCTCTGGATTTTTGTAATCCCCCCCCCCCCAAGGATTTTATATTCAATTCCTCACTCCTCCATGGTATTCTCTGTAGGAGAGTCAGAGGGGTCTTCCTAAGACACAAGACATGTCACTCCCATGCTCTGAAGGCCTGAGATGTTCCCCAGGAATCTTCAGTAATACTCAACCCTCTAGTCTTCCCCTATATCCCTGCTGCCTGTAGGGTGGAATTTGGTGAAAGGTCCTTAGAACTTTGACCATCCATTCTCTGCTACCCGTTCTGGTCCTGGGGATTGAAAGCAGGCCTTGTATATGTTAGGCAAGTGCTCTATCACTGAGTCACTTCTCCAGTCCTCATCAAATTCATCATGGAAGCTGAGAGTCCCCGTGTTCGACACTTTGACTTGGCTCATTCTAGAAGAGCCATTAAAACCCCTCTTCTCTCTGAGATTAATCATTTTATATCTACTGTTTTATTTTTGGAACGACATATAACTGTGGAACATAATTAAGTTTTGTCTTCAAAATCTTGGTCCTTGAATTTTTTTATGTAACATGAATTTCATACAAAAAATTCAAAAAACTGTAACTTTCAGCATAAGTGTGTTGGCTCAAAGTTTGCTCTTTTCAGTTCTCTCAAGTCACAATGAATTGCTTTCCCTTGGTGTAAGATTTGCCTACAAAATGTGCACCCAGGGAGGATTTCTTCTCCCTCTTCCTCTCTCTGTCCCTTTCCCCACCCTCTTCTTTTTGTTTTGGGTGTTGGAGATGGAACCTAGGGTCTCGGGTGTCCTAGGCAAGTTCAAACTCTACATCAGTGAGGCCTCCTCCAGCACTGCTCTAGGATTGAACCCAGGGGCTCCCCACTTGGCTACATCCCCCAAACCTTTAGTTTCTGACACAGTCTTCCTCAGTTGCTCGATTTGGGCTCGGACTTGTGATTCTCCTGCCTCAGTCTCCCAGAATGCCGGGGTTACAGGCATCGGCCACCACGTCCGGCTAGGATTAAGTATTTTAAAAAATAACAGGAGAAACTCGAACATGTTCAGGTACTGAAAGGTAACAATCAGCACAGGTAGTTTTCAATTGTAAATAAGATAGGGCATGGAGGGAGGAGTCCGGAGAAATCAATTGAGAAAAGAGGGCAGATCGCCAGACCCGAGAGGAAGAGGGGTGGAAGTGGATCCAGAGTTCTGCTAGCTACTTAAAGAACGATGGGGCTGAGGACTTAGCTCAGTGGTTCCGGCGCCTGCCTCGAAAGCCCAAGGTCCTGAGTTCAATCCCCGGTACCAAAAAAAAAAAAAAAAAAAGAATGACGGATGTCAGTGTGCAGGGGTCTGAAAGGTTCCCTGGATAGCTTGAAATAGTTGTGGGGAGATAGAGGACTGTCCCCGCTTAGATTTAAGACCTGAAATTATTTCAGAAAGCTTGCTGTGTGCCCAGGCTCCGTATTTTACATGCGTTGTCTCATGTGACTCTCACAACCACTTTGTGGGGCACACGTGTCTACATTTTCCACATCAGCAATCGCAATCGGAACCTCAGAATGGATGAGCCAGAACGCACAATCAGGATCTCAAAATGCAGAACACCTCGCTCTAGCGCTGGTGCAGACGCTGCGGAATTTGCTGCGCGTTTCGTTACCCAGAATCCCCAGGGGCTTGGAAGAGACCACCAGCTCAGTAGGACGGGGGTAGTTTCCGGGCGGTGGGCGTTTTCTATCGTTAAATAGGTCAGAAGTTCCCGTGAGCCTTTGCCAGTCACACCCTCTCTTATGTGGGCTATGGGATATTCTGATTCCTTAAGAGCTCTGGTTAAGGCGGGGACTACCCTTTTACTACTGTGGCAGTGGAGGTAGTATTGTTTTATGTGTACTGCTGCAGACTGGTCGCGAGGGCAGATAAAGAGCAAGAGCTTTTTTGTTTTCTACAGAGTTGATTTTGGAAAAAGCTAAAAGGTCTACTGAGGGTCAGCGAGGCGGTCTGCTGTTGGACATTATGGGAGGGCCAGGTTGTGCAGAATGCTGTTAGCTGAGACTCATGGACCGCTCATTTTTTCGGCAGAGCCACTGGCGCAGGAGTCTAGTGTCTGCAGAAACCAGCATCCTGTTTCCGGAGCCTCCATGAGGAGTCCGCACACCTGAAAAATTGGGTAGGTAGGGATCTCCCTGCCCGTGGCTGGGAATAATTCAAGGGCGTTACACATAGATGGATTGTAATGGGACCACGAGGGAGACGTGACTGTACTGGTGATAACTAGTAATAGGAAGTGCCGTCAGAAGCAATAACTGACGATATACTTGATCTGACTACAGTCACTAGAATTTCTATAGATTAGTTGAACGTTAGTGCCAGACTCCACTCTGAGTTCTTGTTCTTAATCCATGCTTCAGATGGACTCAACGCAGAATATTGGAGACGGGAACTACATCCCAACGTGATGTCGGGTGCGTTTAATATGTGACTTTGACTGGACAGAGATGTAGCTTAGTGTTAAAGCTCGAGGCCTTGGGTTCGATTTCTAGCACTGTCAAAAAAAATGTGACGTAGTTGTAATTTAGTTCCCTGAGATGTAATGATGTTGGTGTTTTAGTGTGTCTTTGCAGTGATGTGGAAACTCAAATAGAAACTGAGATGGGTGCTTCAGCTACAGGCATAACGTAGAACTGCATTCAAAATTAGTCTCTTTGCCCAGATGTAGTTCAGTGGTACAGAGTCCCTGGGTTTCACCCCCAGTACAGCAAAAGTACATATACGTATTTGTATACACATGTTATACACATATTAAGTCATTTGCAGAAATAAGTATAAGTGGTGTCTGGTGGCTGCTTTTTTTTTTTTTCTACACGTGGTACTGAGGATTGAACCCTCCCAGGGTCTTTGCACTGAGCTACATTCTCCGTTTTTAATTTGGTTTCAGACACTGTCCATGTCTCCAGTTGGAAGAGTACTGGAGAAGGATGAGGTCTTTTGACTGCTCTGATGATATCTAATAGGAAGTGCCGTCAGAAGCGATAACTGACGATAACTACTCCTGGCTGACTGCAGTCAAAAGTGTGTACCAGTTGCTGTTGTTGCCCAGGGTTAAGTTGATCTGAACTGTGACAAAGTTTCTATATTCACTCAGGTTGCAAATTGGCAGAGGAAACCAGCAGCTTAGTATTGCAGCCTGGAGCATTGGCCTTGGAACAGGTAAGCTTTGGTCTCTGGCGAGATTGGTGGTTGAGAATGCCTAGCTATTTGGTCAGATATTGGCAGTTCCGTTTGATTAACAGTACGTGGAAGTGCAGCCCTTGACCTTTATTGACAGGATCCTGGAGGAACTGGCTAGTTCATAGGGGCAGTGGAACTAAGAATGTGTACTAGAAAGTGGTTCCCATTCTATTGGGTGTCTAATCTTGAGCAAATTATCTTTTCTGCTCTGAGGTAGTTTCCTCATTTATGAGAGGTAACAGTAGTAGGTTTGTGACTTTTAAAATGCACTACTAAGTACAGATCGTAACACTCAGGAAGTTATTTAGGATTTGTAGATTTAGTAATTTACAAAAATGCCCCTTGTGTAAAGTTATAAGGGCCAGTGTTAATAGGATGGACTTAACAAAGCTTGTGGTCTTGGAGTCTCTCATGCCTTTCCTGTTCTGTAGCCTTATGTTGCTGTGTCTTTGTTTCCCCAGGTTTGGGGAGCAGTGCTGGAGTGCAGTTTTAGAGCTGGCAGAGGTAAGCCTAGATCTGCACAGTGATTCATATTGGCTTTTCTTTTTTTTTGTACCGGGGATCGAACTTGGCTCTTTACGCTTGCACAGCAGGCGGCAAAACCACTGAGCTAAATCCCTGGCCCAATGTTTGAATGTCTAAGCAGCTAGTTGTAAAAATTGATTTTTGAAGGGGCCAGGGATTTAGCTCAGTGGTTCAGGTGCCTGCCTCACAAGCGCAAGGTCCTGAGTTTGATCCTTGGTACCAAAAAAAACCAAACCAAAACAAAACAAAAATTGATTTTGAAGAAAAGGATATCAAGTGATGAAATCACCAAGAGCAGGTGGAATTACCTGCAGATTGGTAGTGGTGAGCCTACGATTTTCTGATGATATCTTTGTTTTTTTTGGTACCGGGGATCAAACTCGGGTCCTTGCACTGCACAGCAGGCGGCGAAACCACTGAGCTAAATCCCTGGCCCCTCTGATGATATCTTTTATGTTTTGAATGACTGTTGGTGAGAGCAGAAAATGAGATTGAAATTTAGTGTCTTCGCAGGCTAAGGACTCAAAGCTGCCATTCATTCAGTTTGAGAACCTAAATGACTTCAACATTTGGTACAGAAGAAACAAGTTGGGCATGGTGGCACACGATGCAATCTCAGCAAAAGTGGAAATCCCAGAAGAAACAAGCTTACCTCCAGCATCAGAGGCCTTCTCAGCAGAACTGATGTATCTGGCAACTTTTTGTAGGACAGGCACATTTAGTGTCATGCACTAACCTGAACAACAAACAGGAGCAGCTTCTATGTCTTTGGATAAATTTATGTTTATAAGTGTTGTTATTAAATAGTATTGTAATAACGGATGGTCTTTGGTATTGATTCTTAGAAATATGTATTTGGAGAAAAAGTTAAATTTGACTGCTGTGAGTGTTAGCATTCAAGTTTGTAAACTTCTGATCAGTCTGGTCATTTTAACTGTAGACCTCAGGGGCAAAAATTCAGAAGCATTTCAGGCATCCATCCTTGATAATAGTCCCTGCTGCCTTTGTCCCTTGAAGCGTGTGATGAATGAGTTGGCTGTACACGATATTTAGCCAGAACCATTAAAGGACATGTCCAGCCTCCATCTTGTTGTCTTCCTAATGGGAAATATTGTGGGGGCTACGGGCCAGTTCTTGATAGTATTACTGCACTCTGTTTTCCTCCATATTCTGTTGCCCATGAGGTTTTGGTTAACCCAGTACTAAATCTGGTTTAAGAATGGTTCCCAGTTGTGCTGGACTAGGGATTATATCTAGAAGGGCTTTAAAGAAGTTGGTAGGGCTTTTTCATCAGGAGGATTGGGTTAAGAATTGGTGTAGGAGTGCTGGGGATTTAATTCAGTGGTTCTGCCGCCTGCCTCGCAAGTGCAGTGTCCCAAGTTCCAAAAAGTAAGTTGTTGTAGGGGGAAAGGCTTTGCTGAGTTGGGCACCAAGGGCACCTCCAGTGAGGCTGC